AATGATAGCATGCTGTGTTACCAGCTGTTTCAACCCACCAGTGTGTAACCAAACTACTTTAATTGAAGGAGGTAACACGTTAAAGGTTCGACCTTTGGAAGCCGAGTATTTTAAGTTACTTCAGGATTATTCACACCAACTACTTTACATGCTTCACTTGCATATGTATCCCAGGCTTCCTACGTAGCCACTGAAGCACAGTTGCTCCTGTCTTTAAGCAGTACAATCACATTTATTATCCATTCAAATGCATTTGACCCTTACATGGGAATTGAGGGAGGATAGGAAGAACCTTGGAAGTGAACACAGTGGCCAAATGGTATTGCCTCGAAGACAGTAATGTTAGGGCAGAAGATGGCAAACTTGAAGCAGCATCTCCTCACACAGTGGCAAGTAGCATGGCAAGACAGAAGACATACACTTCGTAAAAGAGTACTCGGCAAAAATTAATTTTTGGAAACTGAAATGCTAGAGAATGTTCCCAAAAAGATGTTGCCTTGTACTACATTACTATCATATGCTTCATTGGCATAATTTAGACATTAAAAATCAGACTGTTAATTCTATCAGAAAAAGAAAGACTGCAGGCAAAGGAATGTTAAACCCTGCCTATGCATTTGTAATTTTTCTAAGTAATCCAGACCGTTTTACAGCTTATTTCATAGTAACTGTAGGAGGCTAACAAGCAATCACTGTTCTATGGCATTAAAACATCTTCTCTAGTAACTGTTGAGGCTGTTAAAAATACTAATAATACCCACTCAGCAGAAAAGACTCAGCCTACTTGTAAAGCCTAAAAAGGAGTTCACTCCTGTTCTTGAAAACTAAAAGTGATAACAACACAGACAAGGAAGAAGTGTCTTGCATTTTTTTTCTGTCTTGAAATGTATATTCTAACTTCCTGTTATGTTTCCCACCATGCAGAAAGGAAACTAACTTAATGAAAAGGAAAACTGCCTATGAAAACTCAAGATAAAAATCTGGAATCAGAACTCTTAAAGATATTTCTATGTAAAAGTTATATTCTTCCAAAATAATAATTCATAATGAGAAAAAATTCTTCAAGATGTAGATATTTCATTATCTTTGTATCCAAGTATGTATTACTTCTGTAATAGTGTTCCAGTATGTGACATCTTATTTCAGTTTGTCTTAAAGTTTATAAAAATAAAATAAAAATAAATTCAGAAAGCCATGTGAGTACAGATACACACATAAAATGTATTTTCTTCTGTTGTTTTCTGTTTAATAATGACTTTAATAATGTCATCAGAAGAAATGAATTAAACTAATTGTGCAAGCATGACATTTACATGGTATAATACTTTCTGTTAGAAACAGAAACTACTCATGATCAACTGTAGTAGCTCTAGATGAAAAAAAAATGTACACCAAACTGGTCCCCCATGGAGGGCAGAAATAAGCAATAACTGAAGTTACACAAGATGTGGAGCCATATGTGGAGGCTCAGCCAGAAACCTGAATAGAGAGGTTCTTAACATAAATATATTATTGGTGCAATCTTTAATCTTTATAATTATGGGATTCAAATTACGTTAGCTAAATATAGTCTGTCCCATGGGATTCGATGGAGATAAGAAATAGTCAACATGCTGTTAAGAGGCCTCATAGAGCAGTATCTACTGTGCTTGTAGAAGTCTAATAATTATGACCCTGCATAAGGTTTCACAGTACCTAAGGGAATTAAGTAAAAGGCTCTTAATAACATTCAGTACATTTGAATAATGTAAGCAGGTTAGATGCCTAATTCAGAAATAGGCATAAAAGGCTTTAAATGGCCAAGTGAGAGCATAAGCTTTAATTCAAATACATACCCAAAGTTAAATCCCTGTGCAGACCATATTTGCAGAAACTCTTGCTTGCCACACCCAGTAAAATATGCCACAACTGTTGTGACAGGTCTGTGTTATATACCAACGTAGCCTCCAAAAGGCAAAATAGCTGAAGCACTTTCAGTTCTGATGTTGAGTTTAGCCGATGAGCAACAGTGAGTGTATTGAGAGGTTTGGTTACTACGGCAGTGAGAAGCCTTCATAATGGTTATTTCTCAGTGGAAACTGTCCAGGATTGACTGGTTTTGTAACTGGGTTTAGGAAATCAGATGGATTATGAGGTTTCTGTAATTGTGGCCCCACTGTGGATATTAAACAATTTCAAAAATCTGAGTTTAAATTTGTACTAAAGCAAAGAATGCAGATCACTATGTAAAGAACATTGTTTATACAACATAAACATGCCTAAAAAATAATGTAATACACTACATTACAGCTCAGGAATGTATTTATGCCAATAAATAAATATGGGAATGCTATTAATGTCAACATAAGCCTATTCACTAACACATATTCAGTGTGAGATATCAACAAAATTATTGCTACTATTTCCATATTTCTTAACTCAGCTGCTTTGAGAAGAAAAATCCTACCATTAAAATAACATTATTGCTTAAAGGATCACAGGTCTCTACCCTTCATATTCTTATAAAATTATTAGAATATTGAATCACCATAATAAGACAAATCTACACAATGTGAAGCTTTCATCTATCAAGTTACTATTTATTTCAAAAACCTATAAAAGCCTAGGAAAAAATAGAAAAAATAAAATTATGACAAAAGCACAGAGGATTTTGAAAAGATATTTTAACTTACCTAATATAAAATGGCCAGAGAGCTATAGAGCAGAAAGTTAGGGTGGTCAGCCAACATGCAAGTTATACTACATGGTACAAGGAAAATATAATTCTAAAGAAATCACTCTAAAAATCTTCATAATTAAATTTTGCATTTATTCATTTTGCTTGATATATGAATTCTACATCTTACCTGTACATTTAGAAGTTTAGATTTGTAGAATGTTCCAGTAAACCTAAACTTCCATCAATACAACATTACATGGCTAGAAAACAACAGAGGAAAAACTCAACCAGAAATAAATCTCCTTGTAACACGTTGCTCTTTTTGGGGTAGTTGGTCATTAATTTTCTAAAGATCTTTGTGTTCAAAGAGTTTACAGAAAAAAGTGAAATTTATACAACTTTTTATAGAGAAGAGGGTTAAAATATTACTGAATATACAGTTTATACAGACATTCTCTAAAGCACAGAAGGTCATACAGGTATGAATTGCATTCGAGAAAAGTGGCGGGAAAAGATGAACAGATATCACAGAAAAACACAAAAATAATGACATTAGATCAGAAAAGCCTGGTCCTTTACAGGGCAATATTTATATTATATTAGTTTCATGCAACAGAGGTAAAGAAATGCAGGCAGAGTAATCTTGGTCTGTTACGGAAGAAGAAATGTTGTCAGAACAAGTAAAGCATAATTGCTGAAACTCCTTGCTCTGCTCAAGAGAATTGAGATCTTTCAGCATATTCTTGCAAGACATCCAGGCAATTTGAGGGAAAAATATCATATTGTCACAGTGATGGCATGATGAGTACCAACAAAAGAATTTTGAGAGTTTTGCTGTGAATAAATTAAATAACATATCTTACAGTTTGACTCATAAGGCAATCTTCTTTTCTCACTCATTAAATAGGTGAAACTGAAAGAAGTGATTCCAATTCTCTTTTTTTTTTCATGAAAACAAGGTATTTATCTGTTTCCAGTTACTTTCCAAAAGGGAGACTTACAATAACAGAGAGCAATAACCTCACTAGAGCCCCATATCACAGTAGGAGAAATGAGTATGCCACTGTCCTTATTTTAACCTCATGAAATCTGAATAAAATATAATAACATGAACTTATCTGAGAAAAGACAGTAAGCTTTCCACATCAATTGACTCAAAGGCCTATTAAAATTAAGTCGCTCTTAGTCAGCTGTCACTATCCAGGTGAAGAATTGATTAGTTGTCTATGGAGCTTCATAACGACTTTAAGGGAGAAAGGAAAACCAACACTCAGAACTTGCTGACCTCAAGCCCTACTCCTCCAGAGCATTCAGCTTAGCTCATCTTACCACACAGAAGAGTCAAAGACCTTTACTGTATATCAAAATACATTTAAAAATTATGCACCTAGGAAAAAAAGTGTCATAACTAAATATCATAGATATTTAGTATCTATGATATTCAGTACAAAGTAATTGTCATTAGCTTCAGTGAGTACCATAAGAATCATAAGCTGTGTGAAGAAAATAGGAATCTATATAATATTCAGAACAAATTTCTGGTTTCTTTTTAATATACAGAATGATTAGTCTTAACTACATATAACAATTTTGCAAGATAGTATTACCAATAAAATTAAAATAATGTCTGCAATGTATAATTGAAATAAAAAACCCACCTTTTTGTACCACATGACTAACACAGCAATCCTTTTAAAAAGTTCACAGTGGATATTTTTAAAACTATCCTGCTTCTTTTTTCACAATAATAGACAGATTTTTCTCTCCATAATGTATTTACCTAATTATTAATACGTACTGTGGAGCATTTTGTTAACCTACAAAAAATCCACTACACTACTCTGAAATCCTCTACCTTGGATTCTATATTTTCTATTCAAATGTAACATCACACTGTGAGCAAAATGGATGGCTGCTTGCCAATTACACTAAAGCACTCTGGCTGGAACCCATCATTACTTTAAGTCCACTTTTCAGGTAGGAACAGTTAGATCATTTCGTATTTTGTAGAACCATGGATCAATTCAAATGTGTAATAAGAACGGTTTTAAAAGGCATTTTTGCTTCAATTAGGAAGAAAGAATCTTTATTTACAACATTTCTTACACTGCCACTGAAGAAACAGAACTGTGCATGAACTTGAGTCAGATAAAAAAGAAATTCCCACCTGTTCCTCTCATTCCCAAACTAGAAGACACAAGTGTTAGTAAGGGAGCCATAAATACAGAAAAGTTATTGGTACTCTGCTACAGAAAATATTTTTGCTTCTGATAGAATGATGATGATAAAGCAGAGCTTGGTCCTCAACCCGCGTTCTTCTCACATTGCAGTGACTGTGAACACTCTCCTCCACTCACACAGCTTACAAAGCTATCTACTGGTGACTCAAAAACCTACCTGTCACACCAATTTATCTCCTATGTCTGATTCATATCTCTTCTTTGGCATGTCACTGTCACTTTAAACAGATGATTCTCCCATCTCTGCTTTCAAACTCCTTCTGCCCCTTTTTTCCATCACTATTACAATTATTATTCTCTTAATCTTTCAAGACCATGGCCTATACTGTTTTCCTTGTTCCTTCTTCTCTATCCCCTCATCACTTATCCAAAATATCTCTCTACTGCCTATCACTCTATTTTCAGACACGTTTCAAGCACTGCCATTCAGCAACTCATCACTGCCATCAACAGGGTCCTGTTCTGGCCCTGAGCTATTCTCTCACCAATGCTTTCTGTCTCTGACAATTTTTGTGCAACAGCATTGTTGTTAAACCACATGGCTTTGACTCTCTCTGGTGAGTCCTTCTTTGCTGCCATTTCAAAATTTAAATTTATATCACCATCCTAAAATTTTTGAAAACACCACACTTACTTAGCCTACTTTGCTGTGCCCAATTCCTTCCCATCCAATCCACCACAGATTGGCCACATAGCTTTCAAATCCTCCATCAAAGGCCTATTCTTCTTTGCTTTCAAACTGCTTGATATTAACTTTTGTTAATATCTACACCTTCAGCCTACATACAAAAAAGCCAGCTGATTCATTCTGACAAGTATATGCACTTATATCCAACTCTACCTACACCCATGTGTAACCCGACACAGTTGGTGAAGCAGTTTATACCAGAAATGCAACCTGAGCTATACAAAGTGCAACATGGCAGAAGAAAGACAAATGATGATATATACTGTTTTTATAGCTCATTTACAGTCCAGTCCAGTCCTATTTGTAGTGATGAGAGTATTTGTCCACTCTTGCACCTATGTTCATGTGCTCATATATATGATGCATGACAGAATTTCACTACTTCTGAACTACTGAAATACCATATTATAAACTAGGTGAAGCTGGTAAGTAATGTCTGTGATCACTGGCTAATGTGGGAAAAGTACCATTTCATCTGACTAGCTGCCATTCTGCCCCTTATATCTGGTACTCACCCTCAGCCTACCAACTGGATTTATATTAACGGCTTCCTTGGTCATTTTTTCCTAAATGCTATTTTGCAGGGAAGAGATGATATTGCCATTAAAATCCCACGCTTGCATCTCTTCAACAACAGATCGCACACCTGATTAAGATTTGAGACAGAGAGAAACCATCTCATTAGTTTTCTAAATGAGCCCCGTATACATCATACGCATCAAAAATTAGCTCATTCATCAGTAAGACATTCTGCTATTTTGTTATTTTAGTATTTTACATAAGAATTAGACAGTGTACTATTCTTTACTATCCTTCTATATACTGGGGTTTCTTTCAGATAAGAAATAGATCAAATGCAAAGACACTCAAAATATGAACACGCCATCTATCAAATGTGCAAAATCCCCTATTTATATGTAAAGATTTAAAGTTTGCTACACTGTGGGAATCATTCAGTTCAATTTTTATCATTGGGGTAGTTATGTAATCCCATCTAAATGAAGTACAGTTCAGACTGCTCAGCATGACTGGCCGTGTGTAGAAATGGCTAGATCAGAACTATCATACTTTTGCAGATGCTCCGGAACCCGCTACGCAACCTGCAGAAGGTAGCTTGGGAAAAGGCAGGGATTACATTATCACACTGCCAAGCACCCCAGCCACCTCAGCCACAGAGCTAAGGAGTTTTGGTTTGCTTTTGAGAGAAGAGGAAAAGGGAACACTGAAATGGAGAGCAAACTTCTATAGCAAAGCAAAAGAAATAACTGTAAAATTTATAAATGAAAATGTAAAGGACATTTCCTGCAGCTGATAAAGACATGCTGTTAAATTTCAAAGTGGCCTACTGCTGAATGTGAAATACGAGTATTAGATGACCTGACCATGGAAAATGCCCTTAACCAATCTATGAAATGGCTTTTCTCTCCAGATCATGAAGAAATATGTGCTAAAAGAGCTGTGTATCATGGAGTTGAATAAGAAAAAATTGGGACAAAGAATGAAAAAAAATCCTGGAAAATGGACTAGTAGTTTCTTTTACCATAAACTTTGCTGAATATGCTTTGGGGAAATAGAGATGCCTGCAATACAGGAGAACAAGGACAGGTGCAGGCTGCTCCATGATCATTCAGCTGAGCCATAACTCAGTGCCTCTAAGAAGCTATGAGTTTAACGTACAGCTGAAGAACATCAGCAAGGAGAGAAATCCAATCTCCTCAGAGATTATTTATGACAAAGTGCACCTAACTGAGGCCCAATTTGTTTGTGGAATTGCAGTCATTCCATTTCAACTAAACAACAAATGAATCTGCCTTGCAGAGGATTGGTTCAGGGTATAAAAGAAAACAAGGGAGAAAACAGATACAACACTTCATTTACACACCAATTTACAGGCTCACTTACAGAAATGATTGATAAAGCAGTTTTTTGGAAGCAGAGAACTATCTGAAACAGAAGGCCTCTAAATCACATCTCAAATTTTTCCTCTGTAGAGTGAGAAATTCTTATTTCAGATTTATTAATGTATACTCATTGGCTGAAAATTCATGCTTTGTCTCATTATTTTACTGTTTCCCAATTTACTTTACAAGGTTAAATTGCAAGTTTTGTCAAACTAAGAAAACTAACATAATTCTTGTTTTATATGAAAGTAAAACACATCCTCAGATTAAATTTCGAAAAGGAAAAAAAAGCCAGGGCGCTATGTGGGCTGGCGGCTCCCTGTGGGCAGGGGCAGCGGGAGCGGTGGGGGCTCCCCAGGGCACAGCCTTGTAGCCAGGGCTCTTCCCACTGGCCCCAGCAAGGGAGCAGGGCAGCTGGGGGGCAGCCGGGGAGGAGCGGGGGCAGCCCCAGGCATCAGGCATCTCTGTGGAAAGGTACATTTCTAATTAATCACATTTAAATTTTATTATATATGCTACATGAAAGCACTGGATTTGAAAGGGCTCACAGTTTACATTGGATTTCAAAACACTAAAATCACATAACATTGGCTAACATATTAATCAATACTTTATCTCTTGCCTTGATTTTATTCAAAATTAAGTACATTCACTGAAAATTAAAAACTGAAAAGGAATTTTGGTCACAATTACAATTTTGGGTCAATTTCTGCTCCTTTTCTCATCCTTATCCACAGCAAGACTTCTCATTTCTCCTCTCCAAAGCTCATACGAGCATTACCCAAGTCATCAAAAATGACCACACATCAAACCGTAAAAAAAAATATTCAGGACAGACTGGGCAACATTACAAGAGAGGCACTGCTGCAGTCTTGAAATTAGATTAGGAAAAACCTCAAATTGTTCACAAATGGTAATCAGCTGGTCCACAGAAGAGGGGTAGAGAAAATAGTCCATGTTCACCAATTTAAAACCAAGCTATAATTTTACATGGACCTAAAATAAATTCTCAAATTCCAGGTCTTAAAAGCTAGCAAAAATGGGAAAGCAACAATGCACATGAGATCTGCTGCTCAAAAGAAGTACTGAAAAAATATTTCTTCAGTTAGAAAAAAAAATGTACTGAGAATACAATTCAATATATATTTCCGAGCAGAAGAAGCAACAGTTATGGCAAACATTCAAATAGAAGAAAGGCAAAAGGTCAAAAACAGAGAACTAGACAATTTAGAGAATCTGTACTTGAAATAGGATAAATTAGCACCTACTGAAGAGTAGTGCAGAATGATTTACAAAAAAAATATACAAAAGCCCCAGTAATCAGACTTTGCTTGTCCAAAAGCTGAACATTAAAACAACCTCTATCAAGTATAAAATATGGGTTTACTCTGCTGCTGGATGAAAGCAAAAATATAAAGGAGAGAGAGGCCTCTCTCAGCTTCTTGGATGTGTTATGTAACAGAACTAGAAGAAGTGTATGGTATTTTTAATTGAGAAAGTGGAGAGCTGTACAGAAAAAACACAGCTGAATGAAACCAAAGTAGAGAGACAGGACTCCCAAGATTGACCTGAGTATGAGAAATGTGTATCTGTGTTTGTAACCCAATATATTATTTTTAACATTGTGATGCTTATCAAAATATCTGCCTTATACACAAAGCAAATAAAATTAGTATTACTAATACCACTACATTAAAACAGTGGAAAAGTAAGTAAAAATGGAGCAGCTGATGTCAGAAAAGGTAAAGGAGCAAAGAACCTGACCATCAATTTAAGTAACACTATGAAAAATGGTTTAACTTAATACTTCCTTGTTTCGCCAATTATGCAAAATCTTTTGACTGTGTGATTATGAAATACTGTGAGAAGCCAAGTGTGAAATGGGATTTCCTAGACACACCATAGACTGATAAGAGAGGAATATATTTGCCAAAGATGTGTACCATTGCCTTTGGTTTAAATATATATGTCTACTTAATAATGCGAGACTCACTGGAGGATTTTGGTCAAAGAATGAAACTTAGAGTTGTCATATAATCAAATTACAGTATATAAATTAGATGAACACAGAAGAAATGAAACATTACTAAATAAAAACTGACAATAAAATAAAAACAACAGCAATTAATGATGAACATAGCACCAATATAATGCAGCTACCAAGCTATTAAGGCAGAAGCATTAAAAACAGATGATAAATTTGGAATATTTTGAATATGTCATAAAGACATAAATACTTTGTGTTCACTGCAGACTTGACATCTAACTCAATGATAGAAAAAGAAGAACCATTCTGAGTGGCATTAGTTGTCATCCTACAACGTCTGTAACTATCTAACTCAAAAAGTCACATGCAAAAGTCATGATCTCCACTAAGCAGCAATGTATTCATTTAGAAGCATATAAGACTCTTAGCCAAAAAAATAATTTTTATCATCAGAAAAACAGAAATATTGCCTTAACAATGCGAGGAAAATAGCAAGGTCCTTGATAAAACTTACAATTTAATATTTTACTTCCAAT